AATCCGTGGTCAACTTATCTTCGTGCCGGTGTATCGTAACGAGAAACAAGGAAGCATCTTATTCTCTCGAATCTCAAATGATCTATGATTCAGTAAGCCACGGGCGGTAACTGAATGAAGAACTTTCTTGGTTGGAAACTGAAAGGCCAGGTTGCTGTGCAATCGAGCCTCCTCTGCAAGTTTCTAAATCTGACATTAAAGAGGGCCGTACAGGGGTATTCTCGTGATGCGTGATTAGCTGATTTTATTTTCCGCGAAACGTGAATTTAGGAAATTATTCTTCGTGACTCGTGACCTGAAGGTTTTGCGTGACCCGTGAAGAACCTGAATTATTAACCGTTATTCGTGATTTTACCACTCTATTCTACGTGATTTTCAGACGCAAGTCCTCCGAATGGTTAGAGTCGTCTATCGAGAGTGACTCTTAGGTATGCGATTTGCAATATGGAGCCTTGACTTAGCCATTCGCGACTTTACTTTCTTCAGACACTGCTTCTAGTGTAAGAACAGGTCATTAAAAAGAGTATCTTACTTGCTTATTTTCGTGATTCGGGGAAAACGAAATTTTTATATCCGTGATCCGTGATCCTCTATTTTTTTCGTTCGTGAACCGTGCCAGAGACCTCCCTGTACGACCCTCGTTAAAGAAGTTGGAGGCAGTAAAATTAAAGAAACTGAGATACCAAAACAAGAAAAGAGAAGAAAAGAAAAGAAATCACTTCTATTAAGAGTGAAAATAAAGCATTAAGAACATCTCCGGTCTCCGTGACGGTGAATTAAACTAGCATTCAAAAGCATTATTATCATGTAACTGATAACGAGCTGTCTGCAATTGGCAGAAGTGAGGTGATCTACTTGACATTTTATCAGAAATGTTCCATTATCGAGGAAAACATGAAGGTCCAGGCAGACAACGTGTAGTTCTCTTAAAAGGTTTCAGTCAAGCGGGAGTGATTTTTAATTGACTCTTTCTTTGTACGATACTCATTTTGCAAAGACATTACTGCCTATTGTTCGCGAAGTCAAAAATTACTTATTTCAGTTTGATAGTTCAGCTTTGGCGAGGAAGGCTCCAAAATCTGCTTTTGCCCTTGTAATTTTTCTTTTATATTTGCATTTATATTGTTGGGGGAAGCCTAGGCGTTTAGAACGTTGTTTTATTTCTTACGAACACATCCGGTTGTTGTCTTGTGAAAGGGTTTTAATCACATAAGGCAAACAGAATCTTGGCGGCAATGTTGTTATTGATCACAAGAGCAGATCAGAGTAGATTGAAATATTATCCTGTAACAGAAAATATAATATGCTAAGAGGCTATATGCATTTAAGCGAGAAAATTTACAGCTGCGCTGTATTCCCTAGCGATTTCAAATTGAGAAACATCACTCTTTGCCCAAGAGAAAAGCGGCGTGACTGGATAGCGTTACAAAACCTATTCATTTGGGTGTGTGACTCAATGATTGCCCCGTAACAGTACTGAAAGATTTCCGTTTCAATCGTTGTTTAATAGTCGACATGACTTTTGGGCCATTGGGCCACAAACGTCTTCTCAGCTGGGTGATATGAAGACTTACAAACTTCAGCTCTGGGTTTTAACACAGTATATTTTCATTGGTGGTCTTGACCAGTATTGCCGTGGGATCATTTTTTCAGGGGCATCCGCGGACGAGGTCAAAGATGGCGTGGAGAGCAGGAGTTCTAGTCGCTCCGGCTCTGAAAGCCCGGAGTCACACAGAAGCAGCCTTTTGACGGCTTTACAAACGATACAAAGAGGGATGACCAATAATCATGCCTACTGTTCTTCTAATCAGTCGGTGATTCTTGACATTGCTTTCCAGAACGCACGCTGGAAAAGCGAAGCATTACTTGCTGTCGAGGTTGCCAATTTGTTGACTTCATTATGGCGCGTGAAAACATCTGATGGCCTCTCTATGGTGGAAAATGACACGCTCCTTTACAATATCGTTCGATCGAACGTTCGATTTTCGCCGTCCGTCTTTGGTTCAGTGATTTGTTTTGAAAGAGACCAGTATCGAGACTACGAAGGGTTTTGTCCGTACGCATTCAGAGACAAAGCGTACAATGGTATCATCCATGTGAAAGACATCTCTGTTGGCCACGATTATCTGAACAGCACCGAAACCATTTGGTGGAGGGAACCACGCAAAATAAATTTAAACCGAAAGGCGAAATTAGACACAGAAATCTACACAGTCCGTCTGAACCAATCGACGGCAGATGCTTCGCGCAATGTATCAGTACCGGTCGTGGAGTACGAGGAAGACGGTTTCTGGACTCGGCCTTACTTCGATTGCTTCGGTGGTGAAATTTGGATGATAACATTTCTCGCCCCGTTTTTTAACGAGTCCAACCAATTTCTGTGAGTATTCAATTTTATTTCCCCTTTATTGTGTATTTGGCCATTAGACTGATGTGTTTAGCTGTAGAAATAAAATTAACATGCTGAATACAGTAGTCCGCTGTGTCCGTGGTCACTGTTGCGTACAGTTTACGTACGCGCGGCCAAGAAGTTCAAAAATCAAACCTCGCGGCCCATGCGATATAATGACATAACGTTGCAACTGTAACATAATTCAGGGATAAAAGCGACTTGAAATACCCCATCCTTCAAAAAATATTGTTGATATTGTGCTTGGTAACATCGCGATTGTCATTTGTTTACTGATTAATCATAATATAAAATGTACCATACTTTACCGACCTCTGAAAATTCAAGATGCATTGCGTATTTTTGTTTTCGTTTCTGAGACCTGCTTTTATATATGACATTCATTAGTAACGAAACCAAGATTTAGTACGTGCAAGGAAACCGATAAGCGGGTTATACGAGGGACATTGGAAACCGCGGAAGTGATAAGATTTCACGTCATTGCCTATTCTACTCTACCCGTCATTGATGAACTGGTAACTTCTTTGAACCTGGTTATTTTGAGTTCAAAGTTAGTAGGTAATGGGAAAGTAGGATCTGATCATCACGGGAGGCCGAAAGTTTTCTGACGTGGATTACAACTTTATCCTGTGAATTCAACCAACTGACGATCAGCACATTTAAACTGATATGACATCTAAACTGACAAGTGTTCAAGGCTGTAAGCTCAGAGCATTTTTACGCTGTACATGGTAACCCCAGTTTTCTTGGTTCGCTAGTTTTGCACGCAATTTAGTGCTTTTCGCCCGTGCTTTTAAGTCTAACATATTCAGTCAATTTTTACATAGAAAATCCCAAGGTAGAAAATTATAATAAAAAACTCAAATTTACATGCAAAAAAACCCGAGAGCCTTGCGGAAAACTAATCTAATCAGGTAGAAAACCACGGACTTTTGCCATGCCCTTTCCATGTGTTATGTCTAATTTGATTGTAATAAATCATCTTCTATTTAATGTATCGAGAGAAAATGTGAAAGGTAATTTGTTGGATAGCAGCTACTCTTTTCCTGAGTAGCACTGACAAAGATATTTTATTATTCCTCTCCAGCCCACTATTTGCATTTTCTTTTTGTTGCTCAATTGAAATTGAAATTTTCTTTCAGCGTTACGTATACACACTGAAGTCAAATCGAAATTGTACGAACGTTCTAGCTTCATTATATATATATATATTTTTATTTTCAACAGCTCACTGAGAAATCTATTCTTTATTTGTGAACTTGTATTTCGCGTTAATTGCAAGTGATGCCGCGCGCTCGATTTTAGAGAAAGGCGTCATGTTCGTTAACATTGCAAACCATTACCTTAAGTTCATTTAAATTGTGCTATCTGGCGCTAAACCTCAGTTGAATCGGTATTCAAGTGTTCAAAAGTCAGGTTGATATAACAAAACCTCAAAACCTGAGATGGGGACAGCCTTAAACAAATAGTGATATTGCACGAGTGACAGGTTGTTCCGTGTAATAGTGATTGTTTTGACAGCGGAACAAGTACCCCATGACTCAACTTTTTTTTTGTTTGTCGGTGGGTCAGCTGAGAACACAAAGCTGTATACAAGAAGTATAGGTTATGTATACAAGAAGTGTGTTTTCAATTTCAGATCGACAAGTTGATTTATATCTTTTGTTGCAAAGATAATACCCATTGTTAATGTTTGACAGCAGTGTGGTACTTCGTGTAATTTCGATTATATTTCACTTTAGCTTGTCAACTTGTCGGCGCTTTAAACCAGCTCAAAACTGAAGCAATATCCATGCGTAAATGTTTTAAGGACGTTCGCACGAAAATTTTCCAGTCGATAGATTTTTTTAAAAATTTTTGCTGCCGTCAGATAATGAGTTACTTATGTCAGTAATGCGAAAAAAAAATTGGGGTCACCGATTTCCTTTCAGAGATCAGTAAAGCGTGTGGAAAACTACCCTTATTTTGAAAAAACTGGCGCACGTAATTCAGCATAGTTTACAGGGGTTTATAATTAAAAATATCGAAGGTGAGTCAATGGAGGCAAACGATCATAGTCATATTTTGTAGAAGTGGGTCTGTTGTGTAAATAATTCCAAATGCTACCAACGTCTTCATGAAACTTAACCCTTCAAAAGGTATTTGAAACCGTCGCACAGATTAACGTAGAGCTAAAAAGAACGGAATTCGATGGTGCGTTTTGCAAAAAATTCAAACTTCTAGTCGATAGATTTTCTTCATTTTTTCGCTAAACGTAGAAAATCGGTCGAGAAAATGATCCATCAAAAGAAAAATAGGGGTCACCGAACGACCAAGATCGTTAAATCCAGGAAAAGCCATAGCAATGGCCATCTGCCCTATCATTGTTCATTTTATTACTTAGCGCGCGCGCTCATGCATGGCGTGGCGTGTGAATTTACGTGCGAAGTAAGGATGCGTAGAAACAATTAGCGCGAACGTCCTTAAGAACCATATCAGATTAAAGACGGACCTTCAGCTAAGAAAACGAGTCTAGCAGATCAGTAGATTCTTAAAATTTTTATCGATCGATTTACCAGCAATTGAATGTGACAACTATTGAAACGTATTCTGTTTTCAGACAATTGGACAATGTGCTCGTGGAGTCCTCGCGTGTCGCACTCGGGACTTTTAAACCCGCGTATCCAACGTGTTTAATGAGCCTGTGCACCCGTCCTTACGTAAACCGCTTCTGTAGCAACGGATTAGCTTCCCAACCTCGATACATTTTGTTAGAAGGCTCTTGAATAGCGTGGCTTGTTTCGTCCTATCTTATAAATGTTCATTTTGTTGGTTAATTCTCTTGTTTAGCGGTGTAGTAAGTATAGACGTTGAGTTGAGCAGCATCGATATAAACCAGTGTGATGCCCAGGACTCGTCTTTGACGGACAGCGGAGGGAAGAATGGAAACAGTGACAGAACTGGAAGTACAGACTCTGTGAAGCTTCTCGATTTTCTTGGCACGCACAAATGTAAGAAATCGACACAGGTAAGGCTGAACGCAATTTCAAATTGTCCAATCGTTCCCAGTGTCTCTCTTCCAGGTGGCGGGAAGAAGATGGACCCGTCTCAGTATTAATAACCACCAAGCAAACAGGGAAACAATTCTCAGTTTCCCCGTGAGGCCAGTCATTGAGTGATTTACCAAGAGAGTTTTATGGTTTTGTAGCCTGCTAATAGAGCTCGGTTTTCAATTGAGTGTTGTCAATCCAAAACCAAACCAATTATTTACCAAGTAGCCAACGCAGCCAATCTCGAACCGCAGTAAAACCAAAACCAAAGTAACTGCCTGATTACTTTCGAGCGTCAATTGAAAAGCGCTCTACAGCCGACTGGAAACCGGCCTGGGAGTGTATACGTAGAGGGGAGGCTGTATCTGATACACGTATATGTATGCCCACATTTTAAACAGCTTAAAAGACTTGCTTACTATGCGATCCAGCACTTATTTGTCAATAGGAACTCATATTTTCACCCTGACCATATGTATAACTACATATGGTCTTAATACGTTTAGTTACCAGGGGGCCAAATCCTGGAACACACTTAGAAATTAATATCACATTGTTACAGATTTCAACACCTTCCGCAAATTAATGCTGTTATGGAATATTGCATGAATTTGTTAGCTTTGTTAAAATTTCTCTTTCATTATTTTAATTTGTAACATTCGGTGGCTCGAAGAAATTAGCAGAAAAAAAATTACTCTGTAATTTCGAGTGTAAATAAAATTTATAAGTGCGTGCATTCTCGTTGCCCTTGGTGCATTTTTGTCGAATTCGTGAGAAAAAAAAATGGGTCAAGTTTTTGTGGTAAATATGGTGTGGCAGACCGAGGAATTACAACCAGACTCCTCTCATCTCACCTGGGCGAAAAATGATAAATATCACCAGGAGCCATTATGGCTCCTGATATCACATGACCAAGAAAATCGCCAAGAAACAATACTAGTTAATGATATAAGCGCCATATAAATATTGCAGAAGGTGTTGAACTGTTTTAACAGGTTACAACAACGTACACCTCGCGACGTGGCATTTAACTTATAAAGGGTTCCTTTTGTTTTCCAGTGTGAGCCAATCGCCAACCAAGGTTTCAAACGAGGCAGCTATCGCTGTACTTGCAAACGAGGCTACTATTACTCAGGCCCCGACTCCGACTCAAAAGCGTTCAACGGCAGCATCATTGAAGAGGAATATGACAAGAAACAGAAAGGACTGTCGTCTTCTTATGACGATGAGTTTGAGTGCATGCCTTGTAGTGAGGGTTGCGAGGAATGCGAGGATGACAGCCCGTGTGTGTATAAAGTGAAAATTACCCCAAGGGTAATTCTTATCACTATTGATGGTGTGGCAGCGCTGCTGGCCTTAGTTATCGGAGCTCTGGTTTTAATCTACAGGGAAAGCAAGGTAATCTTGTTCGTCGAGATTGCTTCTGTGGTCCTAGCCTGCAGAACAGGCGGATTAGCGGGAGAGAGAGAGCGAAACGGGAAACACGATTGCGGAGCGCGACCACGAGTGCGAGACGACTCGTATTTCGCTCTCCGACCCGCTAATCCGCCAATTTTGCAGGCTAGGTCTACCCCGTTCATATTAACTTAATCAATGAAGGTTGTTTTCCTTTTTTCTGAAAAAAAAAAAAAAAAA